CTCTTCTAACATCGACAAAAATAATTTTTCTCTTTTTCATTTAAATATTGCTTCTCTTGTTAAAAATTTTGACGAATTAAACTCACTTTTATCTCTTATTAATCATAAATTCAGTATTATTGGCATAACTGAAACTAAACTAAAACATGACATTTTACCAACTATCCCATTAAATCTTACCGGTTATGTTTATGAGCACACTCCAACAAAATCTTATTTTGGAGGAGCTTTACTTTATATATCGAATACATTAATTTATAAACTTCGGTATGATCTTAATATGCTTAAACCAAAACTTTTAGAATCTGTGTTTGTGGAAATCATAATTCCTAAAAAATCAAACATCATTATTGGCTGTATTTATCGCCATCCTAGTATGGATATTTCAGAATTTATTAAATCATATTTAATTCCACTTTTTGAAAAGCTATCTATGGAAAAAAACAAAACTACTTTTTTAATAGGCGATTTTAATGTCGATCTTTTATTAGCAAACTCAGATAATTCTGTCTCTGAATTTTTAGACACTATTGCTTTAAATAACTTTCTTCCCTTTATTTCATTGCCAACAAGAATCATAAATCACTCCAAAACTCTAATTGATAACATATTTTCTAATGCAACTTCTACAAATATTTTTGCCGGTAATTTTACTTCTACGGTATCAGATCATTTGCCCCAATTTTTAATACATCCTCTTTATAGAACCAAAATTAATTATCGTAAAAGCTGCATTTTTCGTCGAAATCTAAAACAAATAAATTGCGTCGAGTTATGTAGTGATTTCTCAAAAATTAGCTGGATTAATGTAATTAATGTCAACGAAGGTAAGACTAATAAGTCATTTGAAGAGTTTTTCTCAAGTTTCAATTCTCTTTTAGATAAACATGCACCATTGAAAAAAGTCAGCAATCGTTGCTTATCAAGGGGTCTCAAACCTTGGATAACACGAGGAATCTTGACTTCTATTAAAATGCGAAATAAAATATTTAAAAAATTTCTTAAAGCAAAGAATCCTAATAACAAACTTAATCTAGAAAAATCTTATAAAGCATATAGAAACTTACTTGTTACTTTCACCCGTCGTAGTAAAAAGAACCATTACTCTAAGTTCTTCTCTGACAATGCCAAAAATTTGAAATCTACATGCAATGGTATTAAGAACCTTTTAAACATTAGTTCGAGAGTTAACTCATCTCCTTCATGCTTATCTTCTAACAACTCCATGATACACGACCCCATTAAAATTTCGGAATCTTTTAATTCATTTTTTGTTTCAGTTCCGGAAGATTTACAGATTAAGATCCACTCATCTAATACTGACTTTAATAAATATCTTAAAAATCCTAATCTTAATTCAATGTTCATAAAACCTACAGACAAAAACGAAGTATTATCGATTATTCATTCTCTTAATGACAGCAAGGCTTCTGGACCTAACAGCATTCCAATACCTATTTTTAAAGCTCTTGCAAATGATATCTCTCCTGTACTTTCTGAACTATTTAATCTGTCACTCACAACCGGTGTATTCCCTGATATTTTAAAAACTGCTTCTGTTATCCCAATTCACAAAAAAGACTCAAAACTTGAACGTACTAACTACAGACCAATTTCATTATTATCAAATGTCAGCAAACTTTTAGAAAAACTTATGTATTCTCGTATTTACAACTTTTTAAATAATTCTGCTTGTTTTCATATTCGACAATTTGGGTTTCGCTCAAATCACTCCACTTCTCACGCTCTTATTAGCATTACTGAAATGATTCGTGGTGCAATTGACAGTGGTTCTTTTGCTTGTGGTGTATTCATAGATCTTCAAAAAGCTTTTGATACGGTTGATCACAACATTCTAATAAAAAAGTTAAACTACTATGGAATACGTGGTATTGCTAATCATTGGTTTTCTTCATATATTACGGATCGCACTCAGTTTGTTTCAATTAATGGATTTGAATCCACACATAAAGTTATTAAATATGGCGTTCCACAAGGTTCCGTTATTGGACCGTTGTTGTTCTTATTATATATAAATGATTTATCTTGTTCGTTAAAAAATTCTATGATACATCATTATGCTGACGATACCAATCTTTTATATATCAACAAATCCCTCACGACTATTTGTAAAAAAGTTAATCAAGATCTTCATCGCTTATGTAACTGGTTAAATAGTAACCGTATTTCCTTGAATGTCAATAAAACTGAATACATTATTTTTCATTCCCCTCAAAAAACTATTGATCATATTAAAATTAAAATTAACGGTAAAAAACTTTTTCCATCAAAATATATAAAGTATCTTGGAATATATCTTGATGAAAACCTATCTTGGTATAATCAACTGTATCATCTAAAAAAAAAACTTACACGAGCTAACAGTATGCTTTCTCTAATTCGTTACTATGTTCCTATCCAAACTCTTCGAATGATTTATTTTTCTTTATTCTCTTCTCACCTTTGCTATTGTTGTATTGTTTAGTGTCAAAAAAGAAACTTTTTACTTAACAACATTGCTAGTTTACAACGCGCATCTATTAGAATAATGACGTTTTCCCCAATGAGATCTGATATCGAAAAAAAATTTTCTGAACTAAAAATCCTAAAACTCCATAATCTTGTAAAGTTTTACAATTGTCTTTTTATGTTTGACTTTCTCCAAAATAAACTACCAAGCCCTTTTTCAAATTTTTTTATTAAAACAAACAAAGTTCATAATCATCACACCAGGAATACAGAAAATAGTAAGCTATACTATTCTTTTTTTAGCACAATCAAATATGGTAAGTTTTCCATAAAACAACAATGTATCTCTCAATGGAACCAGTGTATTCCTGCATTAACAAAAAAGTCTAAGAAAAAATATCCACTTGTTACGAATTTTTTACTGCTCAACAGAATTCAATTTAAAAATATATTGTTGGAGTGTATTTCTTTATAATTTCTTTCTGTACTATAGTTGTCTTGTGGTTTGATTTTTATTTTATTTATTATTTACCAATCTTATATTTATTTTTTATTGTGTTATTAATGTTACATTTTATATTATTATTATATCTAATTATCATCTATGATTTGTACATACAATTTATATTGTATTATAATATTCTTAATAATATTGGTACTTTATTGTTATTGTTATTATTTTTATTATTACTATTATTATTACATATATCATTATTATTTGTTTAACAATCTTTTCTTCTTTTCTTTATTATTTATATATACAGATATTAAGTTTTTCCTTTTTTTTTTTTTTGTTTTGTTTACTTCAGTTTCCTTTTTTTTTTTTCTTTCTATTTATTTATTTTTACGTGAAATTTTTATGTTTTTTTAGGTGTCACTCCATTGACTAGTTTGTAACTATATGAGTGACACCTAACCAATTTATATTAATTTACGATGAAATTTGTAAATTTTATTGATATGGTTGAATAAAAAAAAAAAAAAAAAAAAAAAAAAAAATATATATATATATATATATATATGTATATATATACATATATACATATATATATATATATATATATATATATATATATATATATATATATATATATATATATATATATATATATATATATATATATATATATATATATATATATATATATATGTATACATATACATATATACATATATATATATATATATATATATATATATATATATATATATATATATATATATATATATATATATATATACATATATATATATATATATATATATATATATATATATATATATATATATATATATATATATATATATATATATATATATATATATATTCTTTAGTTATGACTAGGAGTGTTTAAACTATTTTTTTATAGAATGTAGAAATTTGTTTTGTTTTTTATCTAAATTAAAAAGCCCACTCCCTAAACATCATCAGCAATATTGTGAATCAGTTTTGCCTCCTAGTCATAAAAGTATTTTTAACTTTTTTAGTTGATTTCTATATAGTTAATCTAATTTCTATAGTAATTCAATGATTTAATTATTTCATTTGTTTATCTTACTAAGAAAAATTGTTTCAAATATGTTAAACTTTTTTGAAACTACACGAAACATAAAATTGATATTAAAAAAATTAACTTTTTTATTAATAAAATAATTCAACTTAGATAAAACTAAAACTTGCAAACTTTGATAAATAAAGAACATTTGTTTCCTTTTTAAACAAATGTAAGATGTTACTCTATATAAAAAACGTGGCTTAATTTTATAAAAAAATTATAAAAAAGCGATGTTTCGAAAATATAAAATAAAATGTTCTGAACTTAACTTATTTTGCTTTAAGTTTTTTCGCGTTAAAAGATATTTTATTTTCTTAATTTTTTTTTTTTGTAATTGTCTCTCATCGGTCTAATTAATATTTTTTTTTTTGCGCATTTTTTTTGCTTTTTGAAATGTTCTCAAAATGAATAAAAAATCTGGCCAGCTTTTCGCAACTAAATATTATTTCAATGGTCAGCAATTGAGAGCGATCGCTCCCCCTTCCCGACAAACCCGGTATAATAAATAAATTTTTTTTTCATCGTTTTAAAAACATTTCAGCTGATTTTTAATAAGTATAAGTTCACTATATTATTAGTTTATGCTCTTATTCCATGTTTACTAGATATTGGTTTCATCACTGGCACGCAAAAGCAACACCATAATTATTGGGTTTTAATGATAAATAAGTTTTATCTTTAAAACCGCAAAAAAATCAACTTTAAATTTATTTTTCAAAATCAATGTTATTGAAATTTATAAAACAAGACTAAAAAATTACCAAATAATTGAATATAAAATAATAAAAACAGAAAATAAAGCAGTTAAAAGTTATGGATAAAAGAAAAAAACTTTTAACTTATATAATATTTAAAATGTTAACTTTAATTATTATTATTATCTGTGTTTTAATTTTCAAGTGCTATTAAGAGGCACTTTTTATGTAATTAGTATGAACCCTTTTACATTCAAAAAATGAAACTACATAAACTTACATCAACAAAAATGTACTTTCCATCTATTTCCACAAATGACTCATTTAAGCTTGAATCATTCCATAAAAATCTTTTAAATATCAAAAGTTTATCTGGTTGTAGATAAAGAGTGACATTCTGGATATAACATTCACAATTTGTTGTTAAGTTTATGTGAATACGTACTTCTTCACTAATTAAAAAATAATTCTTAAAAAACTGATGCTTTAAAACATGTTCAGAAATATATTTTAAAGTAAATCTAAAGTAAAATAAATATTAGAAAAAAAATTCTTAAACAAAAACAATTACATATATATAAATATAAATATATATATATATATATATATATATATATATATATATATATATATATATATATATATATATATATATATATACATATATAAATATATATATATATATATATATATATATATATATATATATATATATATATATATATATATATATATATATATATATATACATATATATATTTATATATATATATATATATATATATATATATATATATATATATATATATATATATATATATATATATATATATATATATATATATAAGCTTACATACACCTTAATCTCGAGTATTTTGTTAGATGTAATATTTTTCCTAATGCATTGACAAAACAATCCCATTTATGTTTTAAAATACTGCCTAGAGGAAGTAACTCCTTTAAATTACTCCAGGTTAGGTCAGATCAAAGTGATTGATACTCCAGGTCATTTCAGATCATCATGATCACCCTGTTACTGATATTATGTAACCCAGAACAAACTGTCCCATGCCCTACTGCCTCAAATGGTTTGCTTTTACTCTACTCATAGATTTTTGCTTGAGCTATCTTACTATCTTTGATAGTAACTATGAATATTTTCATGCTATCTTCTTATAAGGGTACAGCCCTAAAACTCAGTTTAAGTGTTCTGAGGCTGGATGGTAGTAAGGCTTCACGATCTCTGTGGTAGTCTTCAGAAAAGTTGATTCCATCAATAGCTAAAAAATATTCGAGTATTAACAGTACCATGTTGCGCATGGGTGGTGTCCCTGTTAATACTTTCAATATGCATTGGCAAGGCTACATATGGAGTACTTCGTAATGACTTTAGATTAACAAATGGGACGGAGACAACTGCATATCTCATTGTTTGGATGCCGTGCTCTATCTATGAAAGAGTCAATTTTTCTTTAAATTTAAATTATGCCTAAAGTAAATCAAAATCTTAAACATAAAAAACCATCCATACCATCTAACTGTTTTATTATATCTTTCACAAACATTCGTTCTTAGTTAACCATTCCAACTGTGTTCAAACTGGAATTAAGCTGGGATAACTGGGATTGGGTTTCGGCTGGAAATTGATTTGGGTGCCAGATGGATCTCATGTGGTGTAAAAATATTGCCGCTGGGTTTATACTAGGATTGACATGAAAAGGGACAACTAAATAAACGCGAATTTCATAAGTGCGAATTGGTATAAGTGCAAAGCAGTTGCAAACATTGGCATAAGTGCAAATTGGCATAAGTGCAAACAGTAATAATTGCGAATCAGTTGCAAAAGGTAGCACAAGTGCAAACTGGTATAAGTGCGAGCTGGCATAAGTGCGCCAAAAGATATTGCAAACATTGGCATAAGTGCGAATTGGTATGTGTGAACAGGCATAAGTGCGACCTGGCATTAGTGCAAATTGGCATACTTTCCCACTTATGTGTACACTTATGTATACAACTTGTATACATAAGTGTATACATAAGTGGGAAATGCTAATTTGCAATTATATTATTGTTTGCAATTTTATTTGGCGCCCTTATGCAAATTTTCACTAATACCAGTTTGCACTTATACCAGTTTTTGTAACTGCTTTGCACTTATGACAATTTGCAATTATGTAAATTCGCACATATGCCATTTTGCACTTATGCCAATGCTTTCAATGTTTTTTAGCCCATTCATGCCAATACGCACTTACGCTAGTTGGCACTTGCGCCAGTTTTTGCAATTAGGCAAATGCTCTTGACATATCCAAAGCTTTCAACAAAGTTTGACATACTGATCTTCTCTATAAGCCTGCTTCGTATGGTGTATCTGGGAAAGATTTTGAGATAATTAAATTATTTCTTTTAAGTCGCTTTATTAAAATCATTCTCAAAAGCCAACAATCTTCTTCAACATTTTTCATACTATCCTTGATCCTGTTCTTATTTACTGCAAACAACTATTGCAATACTGTTAATATTTCTACATTGATAAATGGCAACCCTCGCACTAAGCAGTCTTCTTTACGTCTTCTTGGATTATCTTTCACTACTGACCTCTCATGGAAACCATTTATAAAATGGATTGCTAAATTAGCATTTGCTAAGATTCCCTCTTTTTATCGCGCTCGCAATTTTCTTACTTCTGATTCCATTCTCTAACTTTACAAATCTACTATTCACTCATGTATGGAATACTGTTGTCATAATAGGGCTGGTTTTTTAACGATGTTCTTTCTCTTCTAGACAAGGTCCAAAAACTCAATGCAAAAAAATTTCTTTAAAGTTAAAGTGATTCTTAAAAAAATTTAATATATTTATCATTTAAAATTTTTGATTTTAAGTTATTGTTATTTAATTAACAATATTTTAACAAAAAAATTTTTATTTTTAAGCAGCGGACAATCACATTCACTAATATGGAAAGTTTAATTACAATATAACATGGTATTGGTTGTTTAAAAAAGGTACACTTTAAATAGATTTTGTTGGTGTGCCTGTGTGATAAAAATATAATAACAAGGCCTGGATGCAAAGTCAGTTAGGAATTTCGTTAGGAATTTTTTATAGACTAGCATCATTACTAATACAATGAATATTGGTATAAAAAACAAAACTAAATGACTATTATATCATTACAATAAAACTTATGTTAGATCCAAACAATTACAACATGGAAGAAATATAGAAATGATTGAATGTAGGGTGTAAAAGTAAAACTTTTTAACGAAAAGAGCTCCAGGATTTCATCACTTTACACCAGGACCCCGTACTAGTGATGTACTATAAAATTTTAGATCTGAATAGTCAGCGATGTTCTACATGTAGAACATCGCTGTTAATGGTTAATGGCAATTAAATTTTGCTTCTTTAATAGTTTTTTCAGTAAATTGTCATGCTTATTATTCCTGTATAAATCAATGTTAAAATCGCCAACAATAAATAAATTACTATTGTTGCTCGACTTTTCAATAATTTGTATAAGAAATACAAATTCTTTACATAGTACCGCCATGAGGTGTTCCTACAGTGTAGTCCTCTTCCATAGGCAAGTTAAGATAAAAATGTGCTTTTTTTGGTATTCCGCTAAAAACATCTTTTGTTTTTTTAGTTTTACTCAGCCAAGTTTCTTGTATGAAAATGAATTCATTTTCGTCCATTATTTTTCAATGTAACATAACCTTCTATAAACATTTTTAACATTTAGAGTGCAGATTTTAATTTCATTATTATTTTTGATATATTCGCACTAATTTAATTTTTACTACTTTCTTACTTCTAATGCCGAAGTAATGTTTATTTTTTGAGTTATTACCATTTTTAATCTACATTCATCTCTTAAGAGCTTGGACTTGTACCTTTCAGCCTGAGTTTGATCCGGGTTAATAAATACTGTTTCAAACTCCTTTAGTCTCTTAACTCTTTCGACTTTTTAAAAATTGAATTTCTTTCTGCTTTATCTATAAGTATAACAATGAAGGGTATAGTTATTATTAAATATACCCTTCATTGTTAAAAAGTATATATTTATTATTTTTTATATTTTATTTATATATAGTTTATTTTAAATAAATATATAAAACAGTGTATATATATATATATAAATATATATAATATAAGTGAAAAACTATATAATTTAATAAGAATTTAATAATGTACAGTTAGTTATAACTTCCAGTACTCAGAATTAGAAAAAATAAGGCAAAAAATTGTTGAACTAAAACCGTTTTAGGTCAGCATTAGGTTGGCACATAAGGGACCTTTATGCTAACTGAAATTTTAGTCCGGTAAAAAATTAAATATTTAGTACGATGTAAAAGTTCAAGAAAATTTCAAGCAACTGATGAAAAATATGTCAATGTTTCGTGATCACTTGTATAACTTTATAACTCTATAACTGCGTAGCACCTAAAAAAGTTGCAAATTAAATTATTCACAAAACTCTATGGTAAGTAGTTAATCACGACGAATTATCTTGTTCTATGTCCATGTTTTTTCAAACTGAGAAAATCGATGTCAAAGTTTGAGTTTGTTTGCTGCTAAATTGAAAAAATTATTTGAGAATTAAAGCTTTTCTTTAGATTTAAGATTTTCCTGCTGTTCATTTTTAAATAAAAAAAAAAACTTAAGAAACTTAAAAATTGCGCCATCCTTATTTTCCCACCCTCTTTTGGAGAAAGAACAAAATAACTTTTACTTTTTGTAAAATAAAAAAATGTTATTTTGTTACATCTTATATATCAAATATATTAACTACATTTTTTAACAACGACATGTTAAAATTTGATAAAATTTTGTTTTAGTTAGTCATTATCCTCTCGCAGTTCTACTGTTAAGCGCCCTTAAATCAATGTTGGTGGGAACCCAGCGAATCTATAGAAACTCTTATAATAAAAGGAGTTTTTTTTTGGAATACCAAAAAATTAAATTTTTTATTATTATTTTTGGAGCCCTAATGAAGGTTTTGATTTTGGAGGACCCACTAGCTTTGTCACTGTTCTTACAAGTTTATTTGATACCTGTTTGCGCTATCTCTGAACGTCTAATCTGAAACAGAACATTTCGCTGCATAATAAGAAAGGGATACATATAGGGCATGAAAAAAGGATATACGAGAAAAAAAAGTATTTATTAGAGAAATCGCATTTTTAAAGTTTTCCATTAATTATTTAAGTGTTATAGATAATAACACAACAATTAAAATCTAATTACAGACTCCATGCAAGATGAACTTAATTTTATTTTCCTTATACACGTGATTCTATTACAAGAGTTTGACTATTAATTAAAAACTATCATAAATAATATGCTAAACAAGAAATTTTATCAGTGTTTCAAAATAATAATAAATATATGTTTTATATATCAATTCTAAAAAATAACAGAGAAAGTCATTTGTATAAAAAATTCA